TCTAATGGTGTTTGTAAATAGGATCTCAAGTCCGCATCTTGTATAGCAATTAACCCCTAAGAAGAATATATGCAGTGTGTTATTCGTTGAAACTGTACTTCCGATTTGATTTGAAACTGTCTCATTGCTGTTTATCAATAAAATTTTGGGAAAAAAAAGAACATAGGTGTGATTTGAATTAAATTAAAAGTGGGATTCAGGGCTGGGAAGATAGCTTGGTGGTCTAAGCATCAGCCTGGCAAGCTCAAGGACCCAGGTTCAATCCCCGATACCACATGCTGTGCCAGCCCCAGAACCCCAGGCATGAGGTGCCAGCCACCGAAACCAGGTGTGGTGGTGCACACCTATAATCCCAGTGCTGGGGAGGCTGAGACAGAAGGATCACTACAAATCCAAGCTTCATAGGGAGACCCTGTACCAAAAACATTAAAAGTAAAAAATTTTTTAATGTAGGGTACAAAATTATATATATAGTTTACAATAGCATAACAATTATTCCTAAATCCACCAAAATGCAAAAAACTACTTTCTAGTGTAGCAGTTATTATTTTTTTTATTTCAGCTGCTTTTACTTCTTTTTTCCCTCCTTTTTTTTTATTACTATGTGTGCATGATAAATACTTTCATTGTAGGATACACCACATTATTGTCCTTTTTCCTTATTCCCCTCTCATCTTCACATCTCCTTTGGTCCCCAGACTTTTTTCTTTCTTTAATACTTTTTCTAAACACAAATATTTTAGTAACAATAATAAATAAGCTTAATTTTAAAATAAAACTAACTCAGGCTGTCAGTCACATATTTTCAAGTAATGGTCATCTTCAATGTTGTTTGTCCCAATTGTCAAATGTAGGCAACACTGATCTTAAATATTTGTGATTATAAAGTCCTAAAAACACAAAGAAAGGAATCAGGAAATCATTTAAGGAGTCGCCCTGCGAGAGGAACGTGATGGCTTACATACTTGTGATGGTCTCCTCCTTCCAGAGAACAGCCGAGCCTGTCTCCCAGGGGAGGAACTCACTCCTCTAACCTCCAAATCCATTCAAGGTCATGGACTTCGTGCTTTAAAAAGGCAAAATCAACATGAAATGATAATCATCACTCTACAGTATAAATTACACAATCGTACTTCATGGGAAGAAATCACATAGTTAATCACTTATGCTTCCTTTGATGATACCAGCTCTTGGAGGGCGATTCATTATGCCCTGATGTAGACTCCTGGGCTTCCAGAGAGGATAGCATCTTGATCCTTGGATTCTGAAAGCATGTCCCATGAATGGCGAAAAAGACTTTCAGATGTGATTAACAGTTCTGGAATGGGCTGACGATCTGACTATTTGGTGAGCCCAGTGTAACCCCCCACAGTCCTTATACAAGGAAGGCAGGAAGACCAGGATGAGACAGAGAAAATATGAGGCTGGAAGTGTAGGTCAGAGAGAAATGAGGATGCTGCCTGAGCGGCTCTGAAGATGGTCACGATCATCTTCCCGGATGCAGAAGGGACAAGAAGTGTGAAGGCTCCCCTCACGCCTCCAGCAGGAATCGGCCCCGCTAACAGCTAGGGTTTAAGTTCATAATACTCATTTTATATTCTTATCTTGAGAACGGTAAACAAATAATCTTGGTCTAAACAAATTTTATAACTTTCTTTTTCTGTATTTAGTACAGGTTCTCACTACACAGATCGGACTCATAGTGATCCTCCTGTTTTCAGCCACCCAAGAGCTGGGATTACAGGCCTGTGCCACCACGCCCAGTCTCAATGGCCGGCTCAGCGCACCCCGGGGGGGGTACTGGCACCCCACGCTGAGCATCAGACCCCGGTCCCTGTGCCTGCGTAAGCGGGTGCGTTAGACCGCTGTGCTATCTAGCCAGTCCTTTATATCAAATTTTTACAGCAGGAATAAAAAAGCAATGCGTGTTCCTCTTCTCTACCACAATAAGATTAACACGTATTTATTTATTTGTTTGCTTGCTTTATGGGTTTTAGTTTTGTCAGAGTAAGCTGATAAAATATTTTTAGCCAACACTACCAGCCTTCATCTAATGCAAAGAATAAAACAGAATGAATAATCTTCTTAGTAGTTATGTGGTGATTTCATAAAAACTCCTGAAAAGGAATTTTGAAAATAGCCAACTTGAGGGGTCTGGGGAGATAGCTCAGCAGCCTAGGTGCCTGCTTGCCAAGTGTAAGGTCATGAGTTTGACCCCCAGTACAAAAAAAAAAAAAGAAACAGAAAAAGAAAATAATCAGTTTGAAAGGGCCGGGCACACAGCTCAGCAGATTAGAGTGCCTGCTTAGGCAGATGCAGGAACCAGGGTTCTATCCCCAGCGTGCTGTGCCCCTCCCGCCCCCAGGGCACCCTGAGATGGTGCCTGAGACTGGGCATGGTGACGCACGCCTGCATCCCAGTACTTGGGAGACTGAAAACAGAAGGATCACTGAGTCTGATCTGCACAGTGAGACCCTGTATACCCTGAACTAAATACATTTTTTAAAAAAAGAAAATATGGGGCCAGGGAACAATTGAAAAATGAAACATCTACATAAATTTCCAATGTATAAATTCTAAAAAAAATTAAAATAAAAAATAAAGAAATCATTTTAAGCTGTAAAAAAAAAAGAAAATAACCAACTTGAAAATATGTGCAAAATAAAAAGCAGATGAATATAACCTCAAAATTTTCTAATTTTAGTTTATACCTCCTGCTTGTACTACTAAGAATATAGTTTTTTGGTTTTTTGTTTTTGTTTTTTTGAGAAACCAGGGATTGAACTCAGGCCCTTGCACTTGCCAGGGAAGTGCTTATCCCACTGAGCCATCTCCCTGGCCCCAAGAATATAGTTTTGATTAAAGATTTATACAAAAAATGCTGAAAAGACAACATGAGCAAATAGAGAAGGAATCTCATGCAGAGCTACTCAGAGAAATTCAACTAAAACACAGATAACTGGAAGACAGGGGAGGGACATACACCCTAAACTAAAAACAGGAACAAGAAAAGGATCAGTACCATCACTCCATTCAATATCACCATTCCATTTCAATAAAGTTCTGGAAAAGAAACATTAGCCAGAGGAATTACACAAGAAAAAATAAATAGAATAAAGATAGGAAAGGAAGAAGTTATCATTATTTGCAGATGACATGATACTCTCCATAAAAGACCCGAAAATCTCCATGAAAGGCTTCTAGATTTAATATCCAAATTCAGTAGTGTAACAGGATACAAAGTCAACCTTCAAAAGTCAACAGGAGGGCTGGGGAGATAGCTTGGCGGTCTAAGCGCCTGCTTGACAAGCACAAGGACCTGGATTTGATCCCCAGTATCACAATACCGATGTGGTGGCCACCAAGACCCAGCATGGTAGTGCACGCCTGTAATCCCAGCACTGGAAGGAGAGCCTGAGACAGAAGGATCACTATGAGTCTGAGCTGCATAGTGAGACCCTGTACCAAATAAATGAAAGATTTCTTTTAAGTCAACAGGACTCTTGTACACAGCAACAAACTCAGAGAGAGAAATTAGGGAAAGCATATCCTTTGCTAGAGCATCTAAAAAAAGTAAATACTTAGGAATCCACCTAAGTAGCTCAGCGGATTAAAGCGCCTGCCTAGGCAGATGCAGCAGCTGGGGTTCAATCTCAGTGTGCAGTGCCAGCCCACCCCCGGGGTGTGCTGAGACAGTGATTGAGACTGGACATGGTGGCGCACACCTGTAATCCCAGCTCTTGGGAGGCTGAACACATGGGGATCACTAGGAGTCTGATCTATGTAGTGAGACCCTGTAGACCCTGTAGACCCTGTAGACCCTGTCCCAAAATTAAATAAAATAAAATAGATGTTAAAGATCTGTTTAGTGAAAATTCCAGTACCCTAGGAAAGAAGATCAAAGAGGGTATCAGAAAAATGGAAAGATATCCCTAGCCTTTGTGCAGGAAGAACTACCACAGTTGAAAATGGACAAATGCCCAAACCTGCTGTACAGCTTTAAAGCAATCTCAATAAAAATACCATTACAATAATCCTAGATCCAGAGAAAGCACTCTTGAAATTCATTTGAAGCCAGAAGAGACCTTGAATAGCGAAGGTAATCTTAAGAAACAAAGGCAAGATAGGAGTCATCACAATCCCAGACCTGAAAATATACCGTAAAGCTACTATGAGAAAAATCAGCATGGCATGGACCAAAAAAACAGGCCTAAGGATCAGTGGAACAGAATAGAAGATGCAAACACAACTACAAACACACTCAACTACCTTATCTTTGACAAAGGAGGAAGGAAAACAGGAAGAAATATCAAAGATATAGATGTAGCAGAGTTTATGAACAAAATCTAGATTGTCCTTTAGACAAAGCACTTCTATCTAGAACATACAAAGAATTGAAAAAACTCAAACACCCCAAATTCAAAGACCCAATCCAAAAATGAGTATCTGAGATGAGTACATACTTCTCAGATAAAGAAATACAAATGGCAAATAAATACTTGAAAAAATGCTTCACATCACTGGTCATTCAACAAATGCATATTAAAACAACACTGAGATCCCATCTCCAGAAAGAACAGCTATCATCAAGAAAACAGCCAATTACAAGTGCTACAGGTACGACCGGTATGACCACTGTGGAAATCAATGCAGAGATTCCTTAGTATTAGAGGATTAGAGTCCCCATTCAACTCAGCTACTGCCTTTCTGGCTATCTTCCAGAAGAATTAAAAACATCATACCACAGCGATAAACATGCACCCATATTTGTAGCAGCAAAATGTGTCATAGCTAAACCTTGGAAACAACCCAAATGCCCATAAACCAAAGAATGTATAAAAAATGATGTCATATTTTTACACAATGGTATACTAGTCAACCATAAAGAAGAATAAAAGAGACTTTTATAGGTAAATGGATACAGCTAGAGACCATACTCATAAGTGAAATAAATCAGACCCATATATGAAAACATCATATTAATATACAAGATAGCTAAGATAATGGTACTACTGATTTATTTTAGTTCATTGAAAGGAACAGTTAATGGTTGGGAATGTAGTTCAGCAGCATAAGCACCTACCTGGCAAACTCAAGGTCCTAAATTCAATCCCTGGTACCAGGGGGGGGAAAATCAATTGAGACTGGGCATGGTAGCGAGTGCCTGTAATCTCAGCTCTTGGGAGGCTGTAAACAGGCGGATCACTACAAGTTTGATCTAGCAGTGAGACCCTGAACACCCTGTAGACCCTTCCCTAAAATACTAAATAAATAAATAACAGAACAGTTTTTATATTGCTTGATCAATCTTACAAATCAATATCTGGTAATCTGAGCCACTACTTCAAAGTCCTCACGCTGTAATAAGTTCTCTTCCTTTCCCTAGCAAGGTCAAGACCACAAAGGCTGGTATCTCTTGCCTTTACTCTAACAGACGTTTAATAAATACTTATTTAGCCAATCAATAAATGAGCACAACACCAAATTACCATATATACCTCCAGCCAATTATCAGGTTAGTTTCACTTATCCACATCCACTTTCCGCAATCACAATGTTAACACCTAAGTTCTGTCTGCAGATATTGCATAAGTGCTTAAAGCTCTGAGTGGTAGATATTCTTCAGTGACAGACTACGACACACCTAAAGGCAAAGACTGTCGGTTTACCAAGCAGAGGAGGCGGACTGACGCCACAGCGCAAATCCTGTATTTGCAGAAAACCTAGAAAATAGAAGGAATTTAATATTTGTTACATAAGTCAATTCAATCATTTCAAGTAGGAATGAACTTGGAATCACGTAGTATAAAATGCCTCGTGCACGTATCATAAAGGTGTTCCCAGGGCAACGCTGTCCTACTTGGAACACGCTGGGTTCTGCAGAATTAGAGCCGTCAGGCCACCAACAACGTACTTAGGACAATCATGAGATTTGGACCCGGCTTCAAGGAAAAACAGCCCACGCTTCTCATTTCCAAGGTGGGCAAGCTGAGACCAAGGAAAGGGATTTTCTTTCCTACGCTGTTTGCCAGTTACTGCAGAGCCTGAATTCACACGCAGCTTTCCGACTCCTTGCCAGTGCTCTCTCCTCCAGGAGACATGAGCAACACAAGCAGCGGAGGGGAATTCCCTGCAGAAACTAAATAACAACAGAAACTTGAACTTGCCCACACAGGAATCAGCATTTCAAACAAATGGTTGTGAAGCCAGCTTTGGAATGTATCCCACGGGCCGTCTTTGTCATAGCGCACTAAGGATCCACTCACCGGCCTGCGCTGGGGACAGGAGATGACAAGAAGACAGCTAAGCATTCCCGGATGGCTTCTGTCCCCACTCAAGCCGCTGTTGCCATCATGTCACAAATACCCCTGACTGATATCTTTCAGAGCTACCTAAAGCACAGAACTCACTTCCTTCGTGCTTAAACAATTATTTTCAACACCGATTATCATCCTTTTTCCCTTGGTCAGTAGTACTAGCTGCTATTCAATTGCTTATGCCAAATCCCAACATAACGAAAGCAAAGATAAACTGGTCTCATCCAGCCGATAAACACGGAGACAGGAGAGAGATTTGTAAAACAATTTAGTATTGCAGCCGCTTGAGATCAGAGCCCAAAACTATCTTGGATCCCGGGTGACACGCAGGTAGCTGAAACTGGACCTAAAGTCTTTCCTAAGTTCAGATGAAGTACTGTGGCGTGACCCTGCTCATCCTGCAGAGCCGTGCAAGGATTCTCCACGCCCTTCCCATCGGACGGGCCAGCCGCGCTTAGGATCGACCCAACAATCCCAGTAAAACCAAGTGCAAAGCAGGTGAGTTGGAAAGGGTCTAACCTAGGGCGAGTCCCCCAAGAACCTTCCTGCAGCAGCTTCGGCCGGCTCCGGCTGGAAGGGAGCGGTCGGGACAGTCCGCGCGGGTCGGCGTCGGCAGGTTGCCTGGCAACAGGCTCGCTGCCCGCCTGCGCAGCGTCTCCCAGCGAGTCGCCGGCACGCCCCTCTGCCAGTCCCTCCCCCGGGGGCCCCCAACCCCGCCGGCTTTGCGGCAGACTCCCCCGGGGGAGGGGGAGGGGAGGCCCCGCAGCTGAGCGCACCCCGGATGCCCCCCGCGCCCGCGCCCACAGCGGTGTGCGGGGCAGCAGTTCACGCTCAGGCTGTGCTTTCCTGTCCAGGAGCTCGCAGTTGCTTTTTAAAAGACTGTAGTACAGTATTATAGGGAGAGGCAGAGATGTTAAGCAGACACATGTACATCACTTTTGGTCGTGGCTATTTCTATTGTTATATTCATTTAAGTTTGTGAATAATGTATTTACACTGTACAATCTATTATTTATCTCCTACTATGTATTCATTTCAGAAATATTTCTCTAAAATTCACTCTGCCTACATCTTCTATCTTTCACATTTCAATATTTGTCTACAATTTTTAATGTGTCATATAATTATTGATTTTCAATAAAGTTAATGAGAAAAATAAATAAATAGTCTAGGAAAAATATGTGATCAATGCACAGTATAACAACTGTTGTTGAATTCCTGTCCCCGCATTTTTTGAAAATCTGTATCATTTCTAAGGGTTTTTTATTAGTTTTTATTCTCTTTAAAAAATAAATATATGTGCACATACGCATAGATTATTACACACACAAGTGCATGTGTATGTGTATATAAACGTTATATAGGTTACAGTTTAAAATACTAATTGAGTGATATTTGTTGTTCTGAAGTAGAAATCATTGTCTCCATTTTATACTAAAGAAGAAGGTAAGGATATCCAATATGTCACCAGAATCCTATATTCCACCTTATCGCTAATTTAGGAATAAATTCTATTGTATTTTACTAAACAGTTCTAGAAATTTAATGCAATTTAGTTCTTCTTTATTTCTAAATAAAATGATACATATATGATAAACATAAATTGTGAATAGCTAAAAAATAAATAAATAAAATACTAATTGAATGGAAAGGCCATGGGCCTAGGAAATTAGGAAACCTCCATTTTATTATTTTTTTTCTACCAAAATGTTTCTTTTGTGCTCTGCACAATGTCTCTGGCCACCGAGTCTTCGGCCACACGTAAAGGGACGGTTTTGGGTCTTCCGAAGGCTGCATCCAACATAGCGCTCGATCACTTTCCTGAATTACACACGCAAGGGTCAGGCACCTTACAAGGAAGACCTCATGAATTCTGATCCAGTTCTCATCCCAAAACAATCTTTTCTGTTTTTTCACTTTGCAGTGTCTCTTCCAAATTAGCTCCCTTCAAACTGCATGTGCAGGGCCGGGGAGATGGCTCAGTGGAATAAGCAGTTATGGAGTAAAAACACATGCCAGTGAAATCAATGAGTGCGATGTGATCATTCCATTTCTTCTCTCCACGTCATAAAATTTGTCCAGTCATTACTCTACCTAAAGAAAAGTAAAAATAAACTAGGGAAAAAAGTAAAACTGGAGCAAAATCCTAAATCTCAACTGTGAGTAGGTACCTATCTAACCTCAGCTGTTCCAAGCAGTCAAGAAAAGTCCGGCGTCCCGGTCTGCGCTTGGCACCTAGTGGTAGTGCCCCTGAATTGCTCCGGTATTTCTGAACATAGCTCCCCTATCCCCTAAAAGGGGGGTCTAAAAATCCACATCTATACAACTCCGACATTTTGCTCATATTCTTTTTTTTTCTTCATTTTTCATCGTCGCTAAAAGTGTGTGTACTTGTAGGGTACTCTGTCATGTTTTAACACGTTGTATCCTTCTGGCAGTGTGTGATGTTCAGGTCAAGGGAACTCATCCATCTTCTCCAGCCTCACTGTCCAGGTAAAACTGTTATCAGTTCCCTCTTCCAACTTTTCTGAATTATATATTATCACTATCTATGGTTACCCCACGATGCAGTGCAATACTTCAAAAACTATTTCTCTCAACTATAGCTTAATACCAATTGATCAACCTTTTCTTTAAGGAAGCAAAGCCTTGGACTCTATGTCGACCTTATAAATTGAGATGTTTGCCAATTTTTGAAACAATTCATGATTTTATGTAGGTCAATACTGTTATTTGTACAGCCATTTGACTTTTCTAGACAGAAAATGAAACTGAAGTAGCATGTGCTAATATTTATTATTTGTGATGACAAAAATAACTTGCCTAACAAGCACATGACCCACCCCGTGTTCATCTCCAACATGCCCAATACATTTATATTTTAAACTCAATATTTACTTTAAATAATTTTCATTTACTTAGTCATTAAACTATTTGTGTATTAAACAAACATCTGTTAAAAAACACGTATATTTTCTCAATAAAATTATGGGGGAAAAAACAGTATAATAAAACCTCGGATTTCGGAGTAACTTGCTCTGTTTAGATGAGCAAGCATTTCTATTATATTTTAACTTGACAAATGAGAGCGGGCAGGCAATACAAGCGCAGGTGGCCCTGGACGTCATCTATCTACTCAGGGCTACGCTACTGGGTCTGCTTGCGCTCTCACTGCAGGGTTGTGGGTGAGCATCTCCCAGCAGCAAGAGACTGTAAAGGCGATCTCGTCTGCACAGGAGGAGGAGAAAAAGGAGCGATGGATCGCCTCGAAAGAGATTAAGGAGATAACAATGTGCAATGTATTAATTATTGAAAATGTCCTATTAATCAGCTTGGAAAGTGTCTCATTGATATTCGTTTCTCAATAAAATTAAATAAATAAATAAAGATTGGGGAGATGTGTAAAATGTGGGAAACAATGGGAAATATGTAAAAAATCACCAGCTGAATAAGGCTGTTGAGGAGCCAGTGATAAGTCTGTTTAAGGACAACGCAAGGTCACATTTCTGTGAAATGTTGAAAGGGAGACAAAAGGGAACGTCACTGGTTCCTTGTTAAAGTTGCATGCTGGCCTGGCCTGATAGCTCATCAGACTAAAGTGCCAGCTTAAATTCAATCCCCAGGGTGCCGGCCCGGCCCCCAGGGCACGCCAAGATGCAATTGAGACTTGGGCGTGATGGCGCATGCCTGTAATCCCAGCTCTTGGGAGGCTGAAAATAGGAGGAGCACTACAAGCCCAATCTACATAGGGAGACTCTGTACTAAATATATAAAAACAAATTTTAAAAAATAAAGTTACATGCAAACGAATCATTTGTTTCCATTATTTCTTATGAGGCCATTCTCTTTGATGTCCAAGTGCTTTGGATTACAAGCGTGTTTCCAGACAAATTATGCTCACAAACCAGGGTTTTACTCTATCTGCTAATATATCAAAAGTTGGAGAAAGTATACACACCTACCTAGTATTGCCATTTAAATTATTGATTGCAGGATAAACATTGAGCCCCTCATGTATGTATGACAAATAAAATGTACTTTCTGCCCTCTAGAAGCTTACAATAGTATCCAATACCATTAGAATAATGATTCTAACTTCATGCATTTATTCAATGACTTCTCACTGAAGGCCAAAGTTCCGGTACCTTTTCTAGGTGCTAAAGACATACCAGAGAAAGAAGCTAAGCCACTGTTTTGTTGAAAGCTACAACCAGATACAGGAGTCAGATGTTAACGAGGCAGCATATTCAAGTAACAGTTGACACAGTGAAAAAATAGACACTGCAGGTAAGTGATGTGGTGTGACCAGCCAAGAAGACACTGAGAGGAACTCTGGAAGGACCACTGCAAGCAAAAGGAGGAGCAAGCCCAAGAGCCTCGGTACCCAGCATCCTTGTCAAGCTGACAGATGTGGCTACAGTAAGAGAGAGAAGGTGAACAAAGAAAATGCAGGAAAAGAAACCACATGATTACTCATGATCAAACTGTACAGTGCCTCATAGCTACATAGAGAGCGGTGGATTTTACATTAAGTCTGAAGGTACTCAGTGGAGTTTTGAGGACAGGAAAGATTATGTTTCAAGAGTTATAATCTGGTAGTTCTACTGAAAGGTAGTAAAATAGATACAGAGAAGCAAAGTAGAAGGATACTATTACCTTAGTTTAGGTAAGAAATGATATTGGCATGATCACTATATTGGTTATGCACAGAATGGGAAATTAAGAAATAATGTAAAAGTAGAGCTCAAAAGGTTCGCAAAGGAATTGAGTGCAGTATTTGTTGTAAGGGAAAAGAGAATAAAGTAATCGGATACTCATGAAAATGTTTTGTGATGAAGCGGTACAATGGTTAATTCCATGTATCAAATATGCTATGATGATCACGTTTGATCAAACATTAATCTACATGTTGTATGAAGACAGATTTTAAAATTTATTAGCATTTAAATCAATAGACTTTGAAAGCTTTTTTTTTTTTTAATTTTAGTACAGGGTCTACAGGGTCTCAATACATAGATCAGACTCATAGTGATCCTTCTGTTTTCTTGCTCCCAAATTCTGGGATTATAGACACACGCCACCACACCCAGTCTCAATTGCCTTCTCAGCGCACCCCAGGGGTGGGGCTGGCATAGTGTACTAGGGATTGAACCCTGGTCCTTGCATCTGCCTAAGCTGGCGCTTTTTCCACTGAGCTATCTGGCCACACTAGACTTTGAATATAGTAGATTACTCTTATCTTCTTCAGTGCAGGTGGGCCTCTTCCAATTAGTTGAAGGCAAAGGCTAAAATTTCTCAAAGGAAACAGAATTCTGCCTGTAGAATGCCACATAGAAATGCTTCCTGAGTTACCAAGCGTTGTACTTAAGACTCTTATCCGAACCTGAAGCCTCCTCTCTTGCCCTGTGGATTTCAGGGACATGTGTACATATATAAAATGTATATTTAAAAGGAGGTGTGTATATCCACATGGAGGGAGAGAGAGAAAGAGAGCGAGAGCGAGAGCGAGAGCGAGAGCGAGAGAGAGAGAGAGAGAGAGAGAGAGAGAATACACATAGACCAAAAACAGTTCCTCTAGGACCCAGTACAATTTCCATTACGGTTTTTTCATTTTTTGTTCCATAATTTAATTTATGCTTTCTATCTATAATGACAACTATCATCAAAGTAAATTTTCAGATCATTTATGTTAGTGGCAAGTTTCCTGAAGTGTGGTACAACATTCAGCAGATGTTGGCATGAAGTCACTTGAATTAAATGACCCTGTCATCAGCCTAAAGGTTCAAATAACAGTATCTGTTTGAAGCAAAGAAATGGGGGGGGGGGTCATTTTTATGTCATAGAAAAATGCTGTTTTATTTTTAACAGTAATATCACTAATATAATAAATTTAAATCACAAAACTAAATGTTTTACATTACACCTTGGGTGAAATAAACAAGCAAATCTACCTTTTCGCAATCCTAGTCTTTGGTATTCCAGTACAAGCAGCTCTTCAAACTGTCAAATCAGTTTAAAAATTGCCTATTACTCAATCCCCAGTCCCCAAGAGAAGGAACAAAGTGATGTGACAGTTTATTCAAAACAATTTTAAAAAAAATTCTGTCCTGGAAGAGGGAACCCGTGACACTTCAGCACACAGACCTGGCCTCGGGCAGCGCCCAACACCCCCGCTCTTAGCCGTGTGCCACCTGCCTGTTGCCGCTGTCCACTGAACACTTGTGAGGATTCCAGAACGGATCTGTGCTTCTGAAGGCGCAGGCTGCGCCCGCGGGCCCGAGGCGTCCTGCCCCAGCACGGCCACCCGCAGGCCGGCGCGCAGGGCAGCCTCGCGCTGCGCAGGATGGAGCCCGGGAGAACGCGGCCGGTTACCGGTCGGCGCGGTCCGGGCACCCCTCGCTCCTTCCGTGGCCCTGACGATGAAACTGAGCGGCTTTTGGGTCTTCAGTCTGTGCCTGGCCGCTGGTACGTCTTTCCAGGTCCCCACCATCACAGACCCATGCTTTATTCAGCAGTGTGTCGACTCCCACAACGGATTTCGAAGACAAGTCAACCCTTCCGCAGCCGACATGAAATACATGGTGAGAAGAGAAGGGGCTGCGCGTGTATTTCTCGGGTCCGTCCCGAGGGTTCTACCAGGTTGTACATATCATGGATTTACGTGTCAGAATAGTCGGAACTCTGCCTGTAGTTTGAAGAAAATTGCATTTGGGCTGGGCTTTGTCATCCAAGGTGATAGTAGGGAGCGGGTAAGGAAGGAGAAGGCGGAGCTGTTCTGTTTTCTAGACCAAAATTTCTTGGGACTGGGGAGGGAAGGTGGCGGATGAAGGATGATGATTGCAGCTGCCTCTTTATCACTGCAGGTTACTCTCTCTCTCTCTCTCTCTCTCTCTCTCTCTC